GTCCAGATTTTATGCAACGTAATTATAGCACTTCAAAACAAAAATAGAATCCACATTTATTTCATTTTTCATTATTTAGATTTCATAGTTTAACAGGGAATTATTGGAAATATCGTGATCAATTTATTAAAACGCCCGGACATTATTATTTATCAATTGATTTAGATTCATCCGTAAGAAAAAAAATTTCTTTTTGATTTTTCCACATAGATCTAAATTAGTCAAAGAGTAAAAAGAACTTTATTAATCAAACATAAAGTATCTTGAGGTTGATATTTATTGTGAAAAATGTTTTCACAATTTGATCGAAGATACAAAGATTTACGTTGTTTTTTAACTTCGATAATTTAAAATTTTGTACCCGCTTATATTGAACTTTTTCTTCAAGTAATTATCAACAATTTCTTTCATTCCAGTCAAGTTCTGAGGAACAAGAAGCTCGTTTAAATCGAATTAATAAAATTCCAAAGTATATTTCTACAGAACGTGCGTTTTTTAATTCTCAAACAAATTCAATACAAAAAACATATACATATGCATATGACGGTTTAAATTATTATATTGTATTACCAAAAAATCCAAGTGAAAATTTAATATCATCATTATTATTTGTTCGTAAAATGGTTCTACGTATTGGTATTTTATATAAATATAAATCATCAATTGAAATGTTTTTCGCTAGTGGATTTTTATTAACTGATCGACATGTTTTAACATGTGCACACTATTTCGATCCGATTCAATGGGGAAAAGAAAAAGTATCATATGATAAAATTTATGTGTGTTTTCTTGATCCAGCTTCTGAAACATATTTTCTGTTAAATGATCCAAACAATTTCTTAATTCAGGCCAAAATACTTCGTCGTGGATTAATTGAAGATAATATGTCCGATTACGACGAAGTAAAATCCAACACAACTGATCTTGCTATTCTAGAATTAGATAAAGTAGCACCACATATACAATTAAATGAATACTTTGATCCAAAATTACATTCTTCATCTGAATCAAATATTATTCCGATTAATTCAGAATTATTTTTAATTGGTTACAATGGTGAATTAACTGAAGATGATGAGCTAAAACCATATAAATACTTAAAAGGTTTTGAAAATTTAACAATTGATGCATTAAATTATTCTCATCACGTAAATTATAAATCAATATCAATTGGTCGTCTAAAACAAGAATCATCCATAGATAGTAAATACGCTATGCATGATTGTAGTACGTTATCAGGTTCAAGTGGTGCTGTAATACTCGATTCAAGTGGTAAATTTGTCGGCATTCATATAGGAGTTGTCAATTCACGTAAAGAAAAAAAGAATGAATTTTTTTTTAACCAAGAAACATTTAATAAATTTATACAAGTTAATTCAAAACCATTTCGTGAATTCATTCGTCAAGCAATTATACCAAATATGCATAATCACGAATTGGTACAAAAATGGTCATCGGATTCTAAATAAAACATTTTTTTGCGTTTGTCTGTACATATTACCTCGTTACATATTGTATATATTTATCCATTATCTATTGATCATGCATATGTTAATCCATTGTTGATAACTATTGTTTCATCTGATATTTTTGAATTAAGTATTAGTAAGTATTTTATTTTCATCAAGATATATGTTTAATATAATGTTTTCTTTTTTTATAGTTCATCATTATCGTTTATTTCTAAAAGTAATTGTTGATGTTGTTTGTTAAAATGATGTTAGCGAACTTCATGTTTTATTTAGACAAGGTTTATAGTGATATAAATGATATGGAATGCAGGCAATTATTGATAGACAATTTTCGACATAATTCAAAGTAAATGAACACGAAGAGTAAATATTCCTTAAATGAAATTCGATATTAATAATAATGTATTCTTTTAATGTAACAACATTTGTACATGAATTCGATGATGTTTTATGTGCTTATTTTTTATAAAATTGTCTATTGAAATATTAACTAAAGTTTATCAACGTGTCGATTCCGATCTCAATCGATATTAATTTATAACAAAAAAAATCTAATTAAAATAATTCTGTTTTTCGATATGCTATTTCACTATGAGAAATCGTTGCATTGGTTCGTTTTTATTGTTCACTTTGATTCGGATTTAATTGAGATTTTTATTTCTATAGAAAATTAAACGCTAAGGAAAATACTCTTAATTTATAAAAGAGCTGATTCAAATCATAAAGATCTTGGAGGATTACTCGATAAGGCACCAAACGTTACATCATAATATATATCATTCATATTGAATGGATCTATAACAAATATGTACTGGAAGAATTTGATCATTTTTATATTGATTTAAAGTTTTTTTTTTTTAATAAAATAATACTAAGTGTACATCAACTTAATCAACACTGCGTACCTAAAGTAAATAACTCATAATCGACGAATTTCAGTTTGGGTTAATTTCGAGAAAGTCAACATATCAAAGTCATAATGATCAAATGGAGTTTGTTCTATGTGTAATCGATATTGATCGAAATCTTCCCCCCATATATTGTTTTGGTAGATATAAGTTATCAATATTTGTTTCCAGCTGAGAAAAAAATTCTGTTTGATTTAAGCACAATATTTGAGATTTTCGAAATAGAATATGATTATGATCATTAGTTTTGGCTGATTCAAATGAGACTATTATTAAAAGAACTACAAATTTACTTAAAATGCAAATTTTATTTTCGTCAAAGAATATCAGAATTAACTTCCACATCACTTTTTGACATCCTAACAAACAACATAGACGTATCTGAACAGTCAGCCATTTATTTTGAAAGACTTAACTCAAATGTTTTATAATCATGAAGACTAGCCTACTATATATTACAGTGTAACATGAGTTCACAGTTTTATTGATCATATTCACAAAGGTACTGGTACTTTTTTGTCATCCTGAAAAATTTCAACGTGCAAATCCAGCAGAATTTAATTTCGATCTAATGCCCATTTCAAAAAGAAAGGTAGATGGATATTTCTTGAATGACTTATGAAGGGAATGACATAAATAGCTGCAGTCCTCACCATTGGAAAGAGGCGATGAAGACGCATCGAACCAAATACGATAAGGTTTTCTGACTACTTCCATAAGAGTTTTAGTCAGACTCTCTCAAAGAATTGCCTTTTTTCTCATATGTTAAAAAAAAAGACATTTTTCATCAACATACAAAAAAAACGTATACTTTTCAATTATTTTCTTGGAAAATGGCGTGATATCTTGCACTTCAATAGCTAAAATATCTTATTGGTTGCAGCTAGGAATAGAATCTATATGCAGTTTTATAGTCCTTCGATTAACAGTTCTAGTGCATCCCCGAAAATAAATAAATCAATATCACGATCACACCAGATATGTTAGTTTTCTAGGAACTTTACATTAGGCTCTTAGAAAAGTAATCAGAAATGTCTTTTCGTATATAGTTCGATGCGTCTTCATCGTCTCTTTCGAATGGTAAAAATCGTAGCTCTCTATGTCATTCCCTTCTAAAGTAATCAAAAAAATACGTGCCGACCTTTTTTTTTGGAAATGAGCATTAGTTTGAACTATAGTTAGCTTTGTCAATGTTTACTAAGAAAAATATGAATACCAATAAAAATTGTTCTAGAACCAAGAGTCGGTGACTTTTTTCAACAAATCTTAACTGAAAATCACATCGAAATTGCATGTATTTTTAACCCTTCAGAGCTTGCATATGCTCATTAGCAACACTATCAGAGAGATTTAGAATATCTTTCTAAAGTCCTCATTTTTATATCAATTAAACATCCAAATTCAACGCAAGTATTATATTATCTGAACGCAGTACATTCTGTACTAAGGTATACTGATGTATCACTTGATTTCTATCGAAAGACACTAAAAATATGTGAAACAACATGGTTCAATTACCATCCATACATAGTTCAATACTGTTATCAAATGAGTTTATTCTACAAAGAGCAACATCAATACAATAGAACCTCAGAATTCACTTAATGAACATTGATTATCTATAACAGGAAACTACTACAAACTCATAAATTGATATGCAATATGAAAGATTTAATAAAATCTTCGTTAAATGATCTTATAATTGAATGAGAATGTATATCTTTGAATAAAAAGAAACGAAAACATTAGATTAATATGTACGAAAAAAATAATTTTAATACAAATTCTTTTGTATGAATATTATAAAATATTTCATTGAAAAAAAAAGATTAGCAAAATTCATGTGGGACTAATATGTGAAAGACATTCGAGTTGCTTCTATTGCTATCAGCAAAATTTTACTAATATTCTTGTTTGGTATTTCATGTGCCATTTATTATCAATATAGTTTACTATTTAGGAAACGAAATGTGAGTTCAGCTCTCATCGATAATCGTGTTTCATAAAAGAAGATTTCCTTTTAAAAATCATAAGGACTAATATTGTACAGATGACTTGACTTCTTCCGAATCAGCAGAAATGACGTTCTTACCGACGAACGATTAAGATAGACTTTAGCTTTGATGAAAATTCCATAGTGCATATTTCCATCATTAACACTAAACAATTCATAGCAGGGTGGAGTGTACATGTGGGTGGCGACGTTGATCTTCTATTCTCGCACACATCCATCCACACCCAGCCTATTTCGACTGAACCTTCTTTACGATCCCTTAAATTCTAATTCATTTATACATTTCTATCTATGGACATGGTATTCTTTCTTACTTTCATCGTGCTGTAACACTATCAATTCTTGACGTCATGTTATTCAGCTGTCTCTTCCTCTTATGTCTCTCTTCATATTAGTATTCCTTTAATTGTTTTTTTCTTTTTCTCCTTACTTTCGTATATCCGAATGTGTGTAGACTCATATTTCTGCAGGTGAGGAGGTATATTACAGGTGTACACTTCATATACCTTCATCCATTCCATTGCTATCGACATCTGATTTGTTCTATTCACATGCTTTGATTCTATTTTTTATCGCAGTGCCCTTTTTCGTTCTAACTCATTGAAAATAAAAAGGAAACATAAAGAAAGAAGAAAAGAAACCTTCGATATATATTTGTTGCAGTTGAGTTTGGAATCTAGTTGAGATTGGAATCACTTAGTTCACTTTGTTTGTTTAAAAATTTGTCCAACACATATTCAAGAAAACTTGTTTGTTTCTTGTGAAATTTATATTTAGTATTACTTCTCGGACAATAAAAAGTATCTTCGTACTGTTATTTTGTTGATGAAAAGCCATTAATCATTCTATTTATTGTTTCCTTCTAAAAGTAAATCTTACTCATCATTTTACTTATATTGTAGTTTCTATATCGGTGCTCGGGACATGAGGTATTGAACGATTGGTTGAAACGAAATCGAGAGTACTTGAGCTATTTGTTTCTATAGAATAGATTTTTTCGAGCTGCGGGGCATGGGGACATTGAACGATTGGTTGAAACGAAATCGAGAGTACTTGAGCTATTTGTTTCTACAGAATAGATTTTTTCGAGCTG